CTGCACCCTGCAAGGCGCAACGATAAAACCGTTGCACCGAAACGCAGACAGATAAACCAATAACAATAATAGCAACAAATGCAATAACAACACAGGCAACAGCAACTGCTGGCCCGCAACACCGCCAATGATGAACATTGCAACATGGCGCGGCAGCAACAAGAAAGCCAAGCCAAGCCACAACGACGCCAGTCGACGTCGCCAAAAGCCAAAGTCAAAGGCGGGCGAAAGAGGGGGAGAAAGTGAGCCAAACAACAGACACAGATAGAGAGAGCAAAGAAAATAGAGAAGTAAGAGGGAAGTAAGAGGGAAAGAGGTGGGAGAGGGGGATAGACAGGGATAGCAAAGAAAAAGTGCCACCACAAGGGGGAATACCCTGTCATAAGGAGCCCATATATCAAAAGCTAATAACTCATTATTTTAATAAAAGAAATATATGATAAAAATAAAATAATAAGCTCTGCTTTTATTTAATTCTTTACATATGCTGTAAAAATTAGAAAAAATAAATAAACACTATTATCTGGCAAACATCCAGAATTCCTCTCACTTGATGTTTTCATCACTATATTATGTAGCATACTTTTTGGAACAAAAACAAAAGGTATCTAAAATTCAAAGTACTTTTAAATGATATTTTGATCTGAATTATCATTGAATTATATTTTTATAATTTAAATTTATATTTTTATAATTTAAATTTATATTTTTATAATTTAAATTTATATTTTTATAATTTAAATTTATATTTTATATATATATTTTTTATATTTTATTTATTATAAAATTTTTATTATTATTTATTATATTATATTATTTTTTATTGTATATTTTTTTATATTTATAATTTATTGATCTTAAATACTAAGTATCAATGAATTATATATTTTGTTAAAATTGGGTAATAATTTCATATTTTATATTATATTTATTATAATTTATATTGTTTAATATAAAACAAAAATTATTACCCAATTTTAAATAAATATTATTAATGATAAAAAAAAATAATTATTGTGTAGTCTATTTCACAAGACTTTTTAAAATAAAAATTACAATGATTAGGGTTCCTGATTTTTACAAAAAAAAATCTCTCTGTAACCTCGAAAATAATTCAACACTGAGTTTTCTTTACTTCATCGAAAGCTAACAATTTTATTTCAAGTGCATTTGGCTCCAAAATAACCCTGACAAATGGCGAAACAAAGGGGGATTGTATTATGCGAATTGACGTTTTAACTTTTGAGAACTTTTTGTCACATTCGCAAAAAGGCAGAGTGAGTGCCTTTTGATTGCTACGCCCCGTGGCATCAATACCAATTTGCGCACTTTATATCGGCCTAGATCGGGGTGGACTCATGGTGAGATATATACTTTAATAGGCGAAAGCAAAGCCGTGTCTTTAGTGTTCCAGAGATTTGGACATTGTTACCCTTTCGGTTCACTTCGGCCAGCGACATTCTACATCCAACATCCGCCTCGTAATCCCCACCGATGCTGATGCTGATGCTGGGGCCCCGCCCGAAACCCGAACCCCGAGGAGATCCGAAACCGTGCGGGACAATCAGTTTTGACATCGCTGAGCTGGGGGGCTCAGCCACTCAGCGGAGCATCTGCAGTCCCCCCTTGAGAGGAACTGCAAAAAAAAAAAAAAGGAGGCCCATTGCTGACAGCAGGGAGACAAGGGATGTGGGGACAAGGGATGTGGGTACAAGGGATGTGGGTACAAGGGATGTGGGTACAAGGGATGTGGGTACAAGGGATGTGGGACCCGAGTATGGGCAAGGGAATGGTCAAGTCTGGCCTAGGAAACCGTTTTTCAATGGCGTTTGCAGCCAGGCTTTTGTTATTTCAGTGCTCTCCTCTTCCGGCCCTGTTGTTTCTGTGGAATCGCGTGGCCCCACAACCCCGGGATGAGCTCCAGATTCAGAATCAGGTCCTCCCCCCCCACCCCCCAGAATGTGTCAGGGCGGAAGAGCGGAAAAGCGGAAGGCAAAGTGTGAGATTCGCCTTTCCCTCTGTCCAATTCCATTTTAACTTTCCCAGCTCCCTGCTGTAACATTATTACTTGGCCACTTTTTTTTTTTTTTTGGGTCCAGTCCCGGGGACTCGTCGTCTGCCTTTGTTGTACTTTTTAATCGCTGTGTCGGAATTTAATAATTTTAAGTGAAAAGCAGGTCGCTGGGGGTCAGAGACTGGGTCACCTTTGGGGGCCAGAATGGGTCGCGGCCTCCATTTGTTTCTCTCTTAACAATTTTTACACCTGTTTGGCATTTTTTGTGTTGTTGTTGTATTTTTTTTTTGTGCGTTTTGTTTCTGGCAAGGGATGATCTCTTGCCCAAGCTACTGGACCATTATTCATTCATGCCTGAAATTATATTACGGCCAAGGACGTTCAGTTGCCGCCAGTCTCCTCCTACTGGAGCCTGAAGCCTGGCGCCTGGTGCCTGGAGCCTGGTGCCTGCCTTTCTGGAGCTCAACTAGGACTATGCGCCTTCATTGTTGTTGTTCAGAAAAGTCCTTCCTGTTTATATGGAATTGAAAACAAAGTTACAAGGGATTGGGTGCTTTGCTGGAGTGCCCGGCAAGCGATTCTATAAACAACAATGTGTAAAATAAAGGGAATTACAACCGAAAAGCCCCAACAAAGTGTCCGAAATATGTATTTTTCTTTTAATACATTTTTTGTTTTTTTTTTTTTTTGTGGAAAATAGTTTAAAGCTTTTTCAGGCTCTGAAGCCAAGTTAATAGACCTGTTTTTAAATGAAATATCCAAGCTTTTGAATTAAATTTTAAAGAAAATTTGAGAGGGTGGGTGCCTCCTGCCTGATTTAGATTCACACACATGTACATTTTACACAAAAAGGGCTGGGAGGGGGGTGGTAAGGGGATACGTAGTCATTACGATAAATGCTTTTCGGTGTAAATCTCTCGGACAATGCGCTCGGCACGTGCGTGGCAAACAAATTAACAACCAAAGACCCCCCCGTCCTTCTGTACTCTCCTTTCGAGTCACAATTATCTGTCAAGCGACCATAAAAATGCTCAATTACACCATCGCGTTTTCCAATATTGTACCACACACACACACACAGCACGACCGCCCCCTTAGCCCCGGGAAAATCTCTACCCTGTGTATCCTGTTACCCCCCCCGTCCATCCTTGTACCCACGCGCGAATGCTCGAATAAATTATGCATTAACTATCGCCAAACAATTTCTCATGAGGTCTAGTTCAGATTTCCATTCTCTGATAAGTAAAATGGAAGCGAAAACGTAAATGGAAACGGGGCACATACCACACACACCACACACACACACACACACACACAATGAGATTATGCTTTGGCGTGGGTCTATTTGTAGGAAGAACAAAAAAAAAAAAAAAACAAGCAAATCATGGGCTGGGGAAGGCACCTAATCTAAGGACAATCCCTAAAAAATATATTTATATATGACAAAGAAATAATGCCGCCCAAGTTACCAATAGAAATGTATTAAACCTTGAAGATTTTGTGGTAAAATCTTTTAAAATATTTTTAAAAATATTTTAAAAGAGTTCAGTTATAATTTCTTTAAATGAAATTCAAAAAAATTGATTTTAGATTATTAAATCTTCAAGATTTTGTGGTAAAAGATTATTAAATATTTTAAAAAATATTTTTAAAAATATTTTAAAAGAGAAAAGTTATAATTTCTTAAAAAAAATTGATTTCAGAATATTTAAACCCCAAAAAAAACATAATATAAGCTAACCTAATATATCATTTAATACAATTACTTTTTCATGTATATATCCTTTTATTACCATGCCTAAAAAATACCCTAAATTCATAGTTATTTCTTCAAGTGTATTACCAAAAAAAAAAAAAAAAAAAGCAGGCCTCCTCCGTTACCTGTTTTGTTTGCATTTGTTTGAGGGCGTAGCAAAGAAACCCAAAAAAAAAAAAACGAAGGAACAAATAAACAAGCGAAAGCAGTCCACATTGGCATCGATTTCGATTTCGGATCGCACTTGAACCCTTGGCAGTTGTCGTATGTCCTGCCAGGCCAAGAACCCAACACCCCCCCTCCTATTACAGGGAGGTGCCAGTGTTGGTGGGAGGCAATTTAATGCCGGAAATAGTGTTTCCGACGGCGCCTGCTCCTGCTCCTGTATCTCTCTGTTGTGTGTGTGTGTAGCTCCGAGCAAATTAATATACTAATAAAATGCCGAAAATTCACAGGCCTTACCCTACTAGCCCACCCCAAAAAAAAGGGGTCCTATTGGGGTGTTTGCCTTCTCTGCCGAAAGGGTAAACATTCCCCGTAATGAACTTATTTGGAATGCATGCCACGCTCTCCACAGCAGCAGCAGCAGCAGCAGCAGTGGCAGCAACAAGCACCAACAATGGCGTGTCGGTCAAATGAATCTGTAAATGAGCGTAATTTAGGCCCCGACCTTGGCAACTCTTTGCCTTGGCAATTGTTTTCGGATACCCATGAAATATATTTGCCCAGGGACGAGTGTGTGTGTGTGTACAGAGAAAGAAAGTTCTGAGGAAGGAAGTTCTTAAAGGGTTAAATATTTTTTAAAAATATTTTAAAACCCTATTAAATTAGAAATGTTAAATTTAGAAATATTTGAAGCCTTTAAAAAAGGAGAATGAAAGCTCTTTTAAATAAGAAATATTTAGTTTACTATTTTCTAATTTAAAAAATTAGAAATATTAAATAAAAAAAAATAAAAATACAATTTAAGGCTTTAAAATTGAAAGAGGAAACCCTAATAAACTAGAAATATTTGATTTACAAATATTTTAAGCCTTTTAAAAAAGAAAGTGAAACGCCTAAATTAAATCAATTTAATGACATTAAAAATATTAAATTACAAAAATTGTTTAAGCTTTTTAAAAAAAGTGAAACCCTATTAAAATAGAAATATTAAATTTAAAAATATTTTCAACCTTTCAAAAATTTCTTTCTTTATATTCAAATTTTCCCCCATCTAGTGGACCTTGAAAATACCTTCAGTTAATGTCAAATGTCATATAGTTATATTCCATTTTTCAGTTAGTACCTTTTACTTTCGGACAACTCCCTGAACAGACGTGATTTCGATTTCAATATTTCGCTTATTTAGGCAAGTTTACACCTAAAAAAAAAAATATATATATAAGTAGAACAAAATCAGTCACTATAAATTTGAGTCAAAGCGCAGATATGGACAACTTGAACGAGGCAGAGCTCTACGTGATCGATGATGACTCCGAGGAGACATATGAGGGAGACGACGACGAGGACGATGATGATGATGTTGATGAAGCAGCAACCATGGTTAAGGCCATGACACTAGAGGAGCACGAGATCGATACCAAAGTTGCAAATGAAGGCGAAAAGAAGGAGGAGAAGGAGGAGAAGGGGGAGAAGGAGAAGCAGGAGGAGCAGAAGTTGGCAACCAAGATGTCTATAGATCCGGATGACCTGCCCACGACTAGCACCAATTGCCAGCAGCGCAATCGTAACCGGTTCCAGATCAAAAAATGGAATGCTGTAGCCGTATGGGCCTGGGACATTAATGTCAACAACTGCGCCATTTGCCGCAACCCGATCATGGATTTGTGCATCGAATGCCAGGCGAATCCGAATGTCAACTCCTACGACGAGTGCACCGTGGCCTGGGGTGCCTGCAATCATGCCTTCCACTTTCATTGCATTTCGCGTTGGCTCAAGACGCGCCACGTCTGTCCGTTGGACAACCGTGACTGGGAGTTCCAGAGGTATGGTCGCTAGACATGGCTTCCATTTCTTTGCCAATAAACGTTTTTTGAATTTCTTTACCCAACACCCCTAAACCTCCCCCCCCCCCTAGAATCTGACCAGCTGTGGTTTTTACTCCTTGTTCCTGCTCTTGATCCCCGGCTCTCCTTTGCCTTCTTTGCCACGCTTCCACTTCCGGCTTAGCTTCCGTTGTGTGGCACTGGCCCGGGGCCATGAATTAATTTCCCCAGCAACATCGAATATTATAAATTGGGGAAACCATTGAGGAAAGGAGGGAGGCAAGGCCGGTCCGTTCATGATTGAAGTTTTAAGAGAATTAGGTTCAGGCCTTTTGGAAATTCGTAGAAAACTTCTGTTTAATTTTTTCATTTTCAAATTCTTTTTTATTTTCTATTTTTTTTTTATTTTTTTGTGGTTTCTTTCGTGTGCAATTAAGAGCCAAGAAGAGCTGGCAGCTAAGTTGTGTAGTTGGTGTGACCCGAAGGCAAAAGGCAAACATTTTTGGAAACAAACTTAGTGCAACTCTGGGTATAGCAAAAGCCCATGGGCTCTTGGCATCGATATGTATTCTATGGAAAACTGTTTGAAAATTTGGTGAAAAACTAAGTTTTGTAAGGAAGTTTTTTAACTTCTTTAGTAAGCAAAGACCAGAGAACAAAAAGGATGCCAGTTATGCATCTTGTAGATTGTCTTTGCTTTTTTTTTTTGGGTATTGTGATGCAAGTATTAAGATGAATAACGCCATAAGAATTTATTATATAATAAACCCCTGCTAATACCCTTTAAAAAATATAATTTAAATCACAAAACTTACCAGTTTCCTCTAAGAATACAAAATTCTGTAGTAGCACCTCCTATAGCTCTTAGATCCTTCAATTCCTGATCTACGTAAATCGTAGTTGGGTTTGGTTGAGGACTTCTGATCTTTCGCTGACGATGGCAGCCTGAAAAAGAGCAAAAAAAAAAGTAAGTAACTTGGTAATCATGCCACAGGTAATGGTAATATTCTGATTAGCAGCAGTTCAAGTGTTGAACGGGGGGAAACTCACTGCATTGCCAAGTGCTCTGGCAGCCATCAAGTGTTAATAACCGCTCATTAGACACCTAATCGAGAGCATTAGAGGGGTGATAGAGAGATGGGAGCGGGGGGGGGCGGCACCTGACTCCATGAGGATTCACTTTAGAGAGCTATTTCGGCTGTATTCCGATGTGTGTATGGATGTGCCTCGTGCTCAACTGTCGGTATGGATAGGATTTATATGTATTCATATATGTTGGGTATCGTTTCAATGCAAAATGCGAGAATTCAGCGAACAATTTCGCAGCTGCCAGGGGTACCAAGGGTACACAGGGGATGTTGGGTTGTGGAGAGGAGCAGAAGAAGCAGGAGGAGAGAAGGTGGTGCTGTGGCAGCTGCAACGGTCACGGCAACATCTGCTACATATGGCAAAATGCAACAGCCAGAAATGCATTGTCATGGGCAACAACAAAGGCCACAACAACAACAACAACAACAACAACAACAACAGCTACCTACTATATTTTATTTTATTTGGTCAGTGTGTCTGTGTGTGTGTGCGGTGCAGAAATCGCCAACGAAAACCAACCCCGCCTAGCTACGTACGTATCCCTACCCTCGCTGGGAACTAACCTATTATTAAATCAAAAGCAAAACACACACACACACATATATGTATATATATAATTCGCAATTCCACTTAAAAGGCGGTATCAAGATTCAAACACACATACGTACATATATATTTATTTTCACAGTTCTGCACGTAAGCGGTGTTTTCCTTGGCCAAAACGAGCCCCAAGGAAGCCCCAAAAACAGCTGTTATATTGTAAATATTATAGTTTACGTATGTATATGAAATGTAGTTTTATTTTAAATATGAAATTTAAATCTAAAATTTTAAGAAGCATATTTTATATATTTTTTTAATATTTTAAATGTTTATTTATATTTAAAATCAATTAAATTTTTTTTATTTTTAATATTTATATTTAATATAAAATTGTTTTATTTATTTTTAATATTTTAAATTAATATTTATATGTAATATAAAATAGTTTTATTTATTTTTAATATTTTAATTTAATATTTATATTTAATATCAAATGTTTTTATTTATTTTTAATATTTTAATTTAATATTTATATTTAATATCAAATGGTTTTACTTATTTTAATGTTAAAAATTATAGAACCTAATTTAAAAATTCCGATTTTTTATTTTTTTGGTTAAGCTTTTAGTGAGGTTATATTATAAATATTATAGAGAGTCTACAAAGTTTTATTTTAAATATAAAATTTAAATTTAAAATTTGAAGAAGCATATTTTAGATATTTTTTTAAGATTTTAATATTTAAAGTTTCTTTGGTTAGATTTTTGTTTAGCTTAAAAATATAATAAATAAAATAATTATTAATGTTGTTCGTAAATATTATAAATTATTCGAATTTTTAAACCTTTTATAAAGCCTTAAGGCTTTCCTAAAAACCTATGCTGATGGCTAGTTTTCTTCAAGCCAAGATTCCTTTTCATTTAAAAAAAATAAATTATAAATATTAAATATTCCAACTTTCCCTAAAAATCCCACCACTATAATTAAGGAAAAGGTCTCATTTATATACACGTTTTAAATAATTTGCTAACAAGATTTAAACTTTGTGTCGAGTTAAGGCCGCTTTACAATGATGTCGTGCACACCGGCGTCGCGGCACTTGATTATCGGAGTGGAATTGCATTTGGCTTGCAAATCAGCAACTGAATCTGTGAGCTCATCAGGAAAAGTTCTTTGATCATATTTCATCAGTGGCAGGAGCAGGAGCAGGAGCAGGAGCAGGACAGAGAGGCGGGTTTCGGGTTTGGTCCTGGGTTTGGATTCCATTTTAAAGTATTCTCGAAATCTCCTATTCCGTTTCTGTTCCTGCTCCGCCGGCTCCTTGGCGGCGGCATCTTCATCTTTAGCACCCTTAGGTGCACACCTTTGGGGCAACAAAGTTGCATTTTCTCCGCCTCTTATTCCTCGTGTTTTGATGCATTGCGAATTTTGTGGCAGGCACTTGGCGACGACGACGACGACGACGACGACGACTCTCGACGATGTCGCCGCTGTCGATGCCCAAGTTCACTTCCCACCCAGTCCCAGTGTTACCTATATCCAACCCTCACCTTTTCCCCCGACTTGGACAGACAGACAGACAGAGAGAGGAGCGACAATGTTTGTGCTGAACGCCGCCGCCCCCCGTTTTCGCCGCACGAAAAGCGCTCCGTAATTGCTTATGCAAATTTTCGCTGCAGTTTTCAACACAGTCATTCCCTTGCCCCACTCCCTTTTTGGGATGTGCCAAATCCTTCTCGTCCTCTGGGCCAAAAACTCTTGACGTTGGCGTTACCGTTCCGTTCTACCTTCTTCCTAGGCGGCAGCCGATTCTTTAACTCTTGGCAAAAGGCACTTTAATGCGGCTTACAAATTGGGTGACACGCTGAGTGCAGAGCACAGATAAAGAAATCTTGGGTTAATTATTAAAAAATAATTATTAAATAATTACAGAAAATTTAAAAATTCGGAAAAGGTAAACAAAAGGAACATAACATTTGAAATAATTTTAAAAATAAATTAACACTGAATTTGGCATATTAAAAAATATATTGTTTACTTTTTAGACAGCCTTTTAAGAGTATTTTTAATAATTTGGGATTATTATTGTAATTACTATTTATTTTTTACCATTTATCATATTTTTAATAACAGTTTTAATTATTTTTATTATCATTACCAAATTTCTTAGATTTTTTTTTTAATTCCAATACCCTAGAAATCATCTAACTTTTAATATATAAAAATTTCTTTGAAGCGAAAATTTTAAGTTTCCTCTGAAAAATGTTAATAATTTTTATTATTTATATTACCAAATTTCTTAGATTTTTTAAATTTAAATTTTGGGTTTAAAATAGGTCTTCAAACCCGATTTCTTCGAGGCGGAAATTCCAAGTTTCCCTCCGAAAAATAATTATATAAATGTGAAAATTCCTTGAGGACCAAAGGACCCCAATCAAAAGGCGAGCATATAATAAATATGTGTAGCTAAAAATACCAAAACTCTCTCTCTCTCTCTCAACAGAACCCCCCCTTAAAGGAAAACCCTTGGAAAAACCTTCAAAGAATTAAGGTTCCAGTCGAAAAGCTCTTGACAAAAGCCAGAAAATGTTGCGCTACGCAAATTATGCGTTTTTAATTTTTCCGGCTGGAGGTCCTCCAAGGGTCAAAAAGTAATTTTTGGGACCCTTTGCGCGTTTACTTTGCAATAAATTAGACATTTTTGGGTACAAAACCAGAAGGCAGAGGCAGTGAAATTTATAGAATAAACTACTTTTCGAGGCAGGATATATGTACATATGTATGTATATACAGCAGAGTAGAGAGTACCGAGTGAATGGGGGGCTTCTTTAGCATTTTGTTGAGTGTGCTGCATTCTCGGCATCCGGCAATCCAACTTCAACTTGCTCCACGGACTAAACTAGGCGGAAATCGGCTCACAGTTTGAAAGCTGTGCAAATTGGCCTGCTGCTCATAAATTTGATATGTGCTCGCTTTCGGGGGAGTTGCAGGCAATTAAAGTTGCAAATTTAAGGCATCGCCGGCTAGGCCAGAGAGCTGTTTGTTTAACGGCAAGCACCAAGCACAAGCACTGCTGCCAGCAATTTTATTTGCCACAGCCTTTCAGTTAGCGGGGGCTTCGCAATGTCTGCGGACATGTCCTCGTCCTCGTCGTCCTCCTGCCGGCAGCTTGATTTATGACCAACCAACGTTGTGGGGGCTTCCGAGCGGCATCGGCATCCCCCTCTTTGGGCCACCACTTGGTTCAATGGCCGCCAGTGTTCGCGCCAAGCGGATCAATTTCGCATTTCGCACACTAGGCAAAGGTTGTTATAGTTATTCCCCTTGCCAATTTTTCTATGTAGTGAGCCAGAAATCTCAGAAATAGGATGCTATTTTATATTTTAAGAGGAGAAAGAAATCTAAATTCGGGTAGCCGAATGAAATCGATTGTGTCTAAGCCAAAAATGCATAAATTTTAATTCGGAATAGTGTTTGGTCTTGGTTTTTATAAAGTTAATAAATCTGATTACTTCATTTTGAATTCTCTTTATATTCTTATACCTTAAATACTCTCCAAGCCTCATTATCCACACTTCATAACCTTCTCAACTCTAGTTAATTTTCAAGTCTTAAATAAACTCCAAGCTTAATTTAATTTAAATAAATTTAAGAAGCTGGCAAATACCCTGGCAAAGCAATTATTCTTGGCAGACACACACACCTTGGGATGTAATAATAAATAATAAACAGGATCAGGAACAGATCAAAAACACCTACTGAAATCCGACTGGGAAATCCGTCAGAGACGGGGCAGAGGCGGCAGGGACATCAGCGGGCATCGTCAGTGCAATCAGTTAGACAGTGTTGCATATTAACGCGTAACCTGCCAAAGGACCTCCTTCACCCACTTGACTCTGGGCTCTGGCGGCGGCTCTGGCGGCGGCGGCCGCAATGTCTGTGCATAAATAAAACATAAATTACCGACAGGCGGTGTCGGTCGGTTGGTCGGTCTGGCTGCCTGGCTGCCTGGGTCCTTGGGTCCTTGGGTCCTTCCTTGCGGCCAGCTCCTCCTCCTCTTCTCCAGCCTGGTTTTGATCCTGGTTCTGGTCCCATCGTGTCATCGTGCTCCTGGGTGGGCTAATTAAAACACTTGATGGCCTCTCGGTTGCCCAACCCTCCATCGTCCTTCCTCCTTCCATCTACCTTCTCCCATCTACATTTTCCGTCTCCTTGTGGTGGGTCGCCAAATCGACGTCGACGTTGACGTCTGGTGTCGAAATTCCTAGCCGCCGGCCTAGTTGTTGGTGGCAAATTTCGAATGGCCCCCGGTT